TTTTAGTATCCTTTCATTGGAATATGAAAATAAATATATAAGCTAAAGATATATTTCATATATCATCTATGTGTGTATATAGTGTCACTCAACAACAATAAACACCTCCTTTTCTCAGAAAGAACCAGACACTTTAGTCTGATTCTAGGCTTTTCTCATTGTGTACATATCTTTAAAAAACAATACTCTTTTCATCATTCTCTTTGTTACACCTACATTTTAATTTTACTGTGAAAGTAACTCATGCTCACGTCCTGTGCTGTTTGTAAAAATTTCAGTATAAATTAAAAAAGAAAAAAAAACAAGAACAAAAATAAGTAGCCAGTGGGCACCTCAGAAAAACAATCAATTTGTGAGGCAATATTGCAATTTTTTGCCAGGTATTGGGAGATACAGCTTTTGTTCTTGGCAGCTGCTTGGGCAATGAAGGTGGAATAGAAAATAAGTTCATACTTTGATGTGCTATCACTTGTCTTCAGGGCTCTAGAAATCTGGTCCCTTTGTTGGGCCCTGGGAATCACTCAGACACCAGGACTGGCCATCATGCAATGCATTTTCTATGAAAATTTTACTGCCATATAATGCATGTCAATGATTCAAAATTCCTGCTCCCTGTGAGCGCACAGTCACAGTGTAACATTGTAGTTATCCAGAAAAATATTTAATGGTATATCAGTGTTGCATAAAGAGTTGGTTTTTTTTTTTTTTTTTTTTTTATTTTATTTTATTTTTTGGCCAGGGCTGGGTTTGAACCCACCATCTCCAGCATATGGGGCTGGTGGCCTACCCTTTTGAGCCACAGGCACTGCCCTATTGCATAAAGAGTTTTATGGGTAAATGTTTCTTTTATTCTGGTTCTGTAATACTGTATTACTGCATTTCTTTTAGGAATTATGTTTCCCGACATCAGTTTATTGTACTTTGGGTTTTACCTATTTATCATAATCTTAAATAAGTATTTACAACTTTGTATATACACCTGAAAATAACGTAGGGTTTAATTTAAATGTGGATCAGGCATAGGTCTACCACAAATTATGTATTTGTCTCTAAAAATATTAAGCCAACTTTGTTCATGGTTTATCTTGTATTACTCCTATTGGTGAAATGCCAATATTGTTTTATCCTGCATAGGTGAGTAATCATGGCAATAGTCTTAATTTCAACATGTGCTTATTGATGAACCTGTATTTTCTTTTTTTTTTTTTTTTTTTT